GCGCTTCTGTGGTCCTCAGCGTCTAAGCACTCAGGGCCTGGAACACCATAGCCGGTGTCAGAATTCTGATTTTATTATTCACTCACCATCCATGTGGCTTCGGGTAGATTTCCTCAAGTATTTGAGCCTCGATTTCCTTATCTGTAAAATGCGGATAATAAAAATAATAATCATATAAGGTAGTTGGGAGAAGTAACGAGTTAATTAAAAAAGACACCTGGAATCACAGATATTGAAGTTTTTTTAATTTGAAGCCCCAACTTGTTAGCTATAACTTCAGAAATCTAAAGCCTCGATCCTCAATAGATAGCCTGACGACCACATCCTCCGAGCCCCTGGAAACCTGTTAGAAGTGCAGAATTTCAGTCCACTCAGACTGGCTGTGTGGGAATCTATGTTCTAACAGACCCCCAGGGGATTCACGTGCACAGTTGGGTTGGAGAAGTGTTGCTTTAGGTTAAAACAAGGAAGAAAGGGGCTGCTCCCAGGCCGGTAAACATGCACTGATGCTTAAAGGCCTGGGCTGTGTAGACGGATGTGGCTTTGGATCCTGGCTCCAACGCAGATTGGCTGTCTGACTCTGGGCAAGTTACTCTCAGATCGTTGGTCCTCCTCTGCAATCTGAGGAGCAGAACTGGCGTCTCCATGCATTAAGGAGATGCCAGTGATGTGGGCTCAGGCAGGTGTCTGGCAGAACCAAGCGTTCCCAACAGGTGACAGGCAGGCTGCTCCCTATCACATTTTGAAAGGGGAAAAGGGCTACCCTAAAGCTGAACCAAGGATGGTTAGTGCTCAAAACCAAACCAGACTTCCTCCAACCAAGGAAGAAATAACAGCCCTGACAATAATAAATAAAACCTAGCTGGCATCCAGATCCTAGAAGTCCTGCATGCTATCAGCTTTCTCTAGGGTTCGTGTGTCTGTCTGTGTTTTCCATTTGGAACTGTGGCCACTGCAATGTGTACTTGAGACTCATGGAAGGTTAGTCTCTTATTCTGCTGCTTTTAAAGTTGTACAAAGAAAATCTCAGAGTGGGCAAGCATGAGGAGTCCAAGCCTCCTGTGCGATGAGCGATCTGCGTGGGAGACAAAATTTCGCCACAGGTGTGCTCTAATAATTTCCTCTGCAGAGTCCACCTCTCTGCACACAAGGATTTTCGAGCCCGCGCACGAGGCCTCAGTTGGCCCTCGATTCCTTGCTGGGCTTGGGGGTCCATGTCATCTGGCCTTAGTCAGGTGGTGTGGAAGAGAGAGCAGCCCACGGGCTTCCTCGGCTGTGCTGCGTGCCCCCAGGGAGCCCCTGGGCCTGCTGAGCTTCCTCTAGGGCAGATGGTGGAAGAGCTCTGCAGACGAAGATGAGGTCCCCACCTCCCTGAACACTGTGTGTGTCAGCAGAATTCTTTTCTTCTTTTTACTGCCTTGGAGAGACATGCTGACTTGGTCAAAATCGCTTCGGTTTTGACTGATGATTTAGGAAATGAAAACTTCTGGCCCAGCAAGGGGAGGCCAGCAAGCGAGGGGAGAGGACATTGGGCCAGGGCCACCCGACACAATAACACCCCTCACAACTCCAGGCTGTCTTTCATCCAGGCAAAGGCGGCCCCAGGTGTGGAGCAGACTGGGGCGGATCAGATTACGGTCCTGGAGCCCAGTGCTGGGTGCCCTGGCCAGGGGAACCACAGCTAGGGGTGTGTGAGTGGGGGGCTAGCTGCTGGGGAAATGAGATGGGCCCCAAGGAAGTCCCTGTGCCCTGGCTGGCCTGCAGTGGGGCTGGGCACCACGTGAGGATTGAGGATCGGAATGCAGGGATGACCCTCTCATCTCGAGTGTCCCCTCCCGCCTCACGCACACCCTCTTTTGCTCTAGTACTTCAGCTCTCGCTCTCAGAGTCAGGATACATTTGCTTTTCTCTGCTGAGCCAAAAAGCAGATCATCATGAAAAGTTTTGTTGTTATTTTGTAACTTAGGAGAATTTCCTATTACCATATTTTCCTTTTCATCCAGATGGTAACATAATAACATTTATCAAGGGTTTTCTCTATGCCCTAGGCACTGTGCAAAGCCCTTTCCATGAATTAACTTCTGAAACCTCACAGCGATCCCAGAAGACAGGCGCTATCAGTCCCGCCATTTTACAGATGGGGAACTGAGGTGTAGAGAGGTTAAGTCCCTTGCCCATGGTGCACAGCTGGAAGGGCAGAGCTGGGGTGTGAATGGGGGTTGGGCGGGCTCCAGGGCCCAGGCTGCCCCCTCCACACAAGACTTGACCTCGGCAATCTCAAAGCTTTTCCTGGTGATGGCCTCAGTTCCCAAACTGGCATCGGGTGCACTCTCAGCCAGATATTTCTTGCTTGCTCATTTTCATTGATTCATTGATCCATTGATTCATTGATTCATTCAGCATTCACTGAGGGCCTGCTGCAGTCTTGGGGATGACTCTGGGGGAGGAAACAGGGAAAAGAAAGACCCACCCCTCCCCCAGCATGGATCACAGGAAAGATAAGGCTAAACGGGGGGGGGGGGGGGGGGGGTTGTGGGAGTTCAGAGGAAACCTTATCTCTTGAGGCCTTGGATATGAAGGGCATGTTGTCTCTTCATCTTGCATGAAAAAAGATGGCATCTCAGAGGAAGGGTCGCTGGGGTGAGGGATGCGGGAGACATCTAGGCTTGGCGCCTGCACCCTCAGCCCTCAGTCACCTGGTCTCTTTAGGTATAGGCTGTGCTTATTACTATTCATTCAACAGGTACTAATTGAGCAACTGCTGTGTGCCAGGCTCAGAATAGGCTCAGGTGAGATGCCCCCAAAAACGGTAAACTAGAATCCTGGCTTAGACAGGACAGATCAGTTGTTTCATATGTAAATTGTAGCACCAAGACCTGCTTCCCCTGCCCCCAGCCTCACCTGCTTGTGAAGATCCCTCGGAAAGATTAGAGAGTAGATAAAGAGCAGACTGCTGCTGCAGAGCAGGGCTGCTCCGGCTCCTTATTTCAGACTGTGGAAGAAAGTGACCTTCTTTCTCTCTGCTGGCACTGGAGGTGGCATAGCCTGCCCCTAGCAAGCCAGTGCTGGAGGGCGTGGGCAGGGCTGAGGAGAGCCTGGTTTCTGTCCCCTGCTCTGCAGGGCTCAACCGCTTGCTGTTCCTTCACCTGGGATGCCTTTCCCTGGAAAAGCCTGTCTCTTTCTTGTCTTTCAGGACTCAGGTCAGTGGCGTCTCCTCCAAAAGCCCCCCTCCCCACCCTCCACCACCTCACCCTGTTTGTCTGCCCCCCTCCGTGCACACTGCCTGTCACTCATTACAGGCCGACGTGACCCAGGCTCTCCAGTTGCACACTCTCAGATGGACCCTGGATGACTGTGGTGCTCCTGCAATTTCCCCGGTGGCCCCAGGGTAGGATTCCTGCAAGCCACGATGCCCACCCTTCCTTCTCCCTTCTGTGTGTCCCCCGCTGCCTGGCTTCTGAATCATTCCCAGATACAGTGATGGACAAGACCTGCCTCCTCTCCAGTCCCCGAATCTTATTTAAGCCTCTTGCTTTGCTTCCCGAACTTGGATGCTGGCTTCTTGATGGAGGCTGCCATGTGGCCACGTTCCCTCGTTGCTGGGTCTTCCCGCCCAGCACTGTGCTTGGCCCCAGGAATGGCCACATAATATCTGGGCCAGGTGCAAAATAAATACGGGGCAGGGGGACTTTGTTCACAGGTGATTCAGAACTGCATATGGTGACCCTAGAGCAGGAAAGTGAGTGAGGACCCTTGAGAGTGGGGGGACCCTTGAGAGTGGGGGGCCCTGTATGGCTGTCCAGGCTGCAGGCCCCACAGCCCCGCTGCCTGATACCCTGTGCTCCATGTTTGTCTGTTGAAGGAAGGAGTGAATGGATGAAGAGCAGATGGTGGGGGTGGTTGGAGGGCCTTGACTGGTGGGTAGGCAGAGGCCCCTCCCTGGCATGGAGGCTGAGGACCTGTTCCATCTCACAGCCTGGGGTCTATGTGTAAATGGCCAGGACTTGCAGGCTGGCACAGGGGCTCAGAATCTGTTCCATCTCACAGACGGGGGCCTGTGTGTAAATGGCCAGGCCCTACCTGCAGGCTGGCATTTTTCTGCTCCTTTCCTGGCCTCTGGCCTCTCCTTTCTCCACCCATGTGGCCCCTCAGGCTGCCATCTTGTCCAAAAGCCCCCAAGGGAGACCCAGAGGGCCACTTGGCCAAACTACTTCTCCAGAAAACTGTAGAAGACCATAATTCTCTTCCCCAGCTCTGCTGCTCCAGGGAGGACAACCTCAACTGAGGCTTAGCCAGAGCCGCTGGCAGACAAAACCCCCTTCCTCAACCTCAGCCCTTCCCCCTCCCCAACCTCATCCCAGCGGCCCTCTGGGGACTCCCTCTCTCACCCAGCCCCAGGAGAGGAAGGAGACAGCGATGAACTTTTACCCCGATGCCCTCTTTGCCACTCTGGGTGCAGTCATTCCCTTGAGATCCCACACTGGGAGGTCCCACTCAGGACCCGTGCATTCTGAGTGGTCTGGGGACCCCTTGTGACCGCGTGCATGGCTCGGTATTGATTGTAGGATGAATGGATGAGGAGAGGCAGGAGAGAAGGCTGGTGGGGAGGTCTCAGGCACAGACCCTTGGAGGGGAAGAGGATGCACTGCCATGGGAAGGCCGATGGGAAGCCCCCCTGGTGGTGCTGGGGTGCCTGGTCTCAGGCTGAGGGGTGGCTGGAAAGATACAGGGCCCCAAAGAGGAGGAGGTGGGGAAGAACCTCGCAGCTCACACGAAGTTCACTTATTCACTCAACAAATCCTGATTGCGCAGCCACTGTGGCTGCGCCGCTCAGGGTTCAAGGCACTTCGGTACAAGAGCCCGACCCCAGGGCACTGGGTGTCTAGTGCGCGTGAGAAGGCAATAAAGAAGGCACAGGGTAACTCAAACAGTAATTCCAGACAGCAAGAGAAAGGACAGGAAATAACTCAGATGTGCGTGGGGTGAGGCGAGGAAGCGACCCGAGCTTGGCAGGTCTTGGAGGTCTCTGGGAGGAGCAAGCGGCGCCCGCTGCGGGGCGCGGGGTGGTAATCGGGGAGAGGTCCAGGCCCAAGAATTGGCGAGCGCAGAGACTAGCTGGCAACTGGCTCGGGAAGGCGCGGAGGGGCCACGGTGCTCGGCTTAAAAGGAGACCGGGACAGAGGGGTAAGACCGGCTCAAGGGTCACCGCTTCCAGGAAGCCTTCTATTTCTGCGCCACCTCCGGGCTCCCCCAACTTTTCCCATCGCGGTCCGCAGCCCCCAGTCCAGCTCCAGCCGCCTTCCTGGTGCGGACCGCGAGTGCCAAGAGGGCAGGGCCGGCTCGGATTCCTCCCGCCGCAACCCAGCAAAGTCCCGCCAGGCTCTGGGCACCCCGTGGGCAGTCGGTAAACATTTGTCAAGCGCTCTAGAGGGAATGAATGAACCCATTGGGCACAGCTGGAGGGAGGGCGGGGCCGAGGGCAGGTGGGAGGCCGCCGGCGCGGGAGGGGCCCCTGGAAGCCCGTCCTCCTCCTCCTCCTCCTCCTCCTCCGCCCAGGCCCCAGCGCGTACCACTCTGGGGCTCCCGAGGCGGCCTCTCGTGCGATCCAGGGCGCCCAGGGCTTGGGATAGTGTCCTGGGGACCCTGCTCTCCGTGCCAGAGGTTAGAAGAGGGTGGGTCGCCGCCGCCCGAGGGCGGGAGCGCGAGAGGAGCGGGAAGAAGGAGCGCTCGCCCGCCCGCCCGCCTCCTTGCTGCCTCCCCGGCGCTCACTCTCTGGACTCGTAGGTTTGCTGGCTGCTCCTCCCACCCGCGCCCGCCTCCTCACTCGCCTCCTCGCTCGCCGGGGCTGCTTTCCAAGCCCTGCGGTGCGCCTGGGCGAGTGCGGGACGAGGGGCCCGGGGCCAGCATCGAGCGGGGGGCGGGGGTCCCGGCAGAGCGCGGCCGGCCGGGGAGGGGCCATGTCTGGCGCGGGCGCAGCGGGGCACTGCTGCAAGTGACCGAGCGGGGCGGACGGCCGCCTGCCCCCTCTGCCACCTGGGGCGGTGCGGGCCCAGAGCCCGGAGCCCGGGTCGCGCGTAGAGCCGGCGCGATGCACGTGCGCTCGCTGCGCGCCGCGGCGCCGCACAGCTTCGTGGCGCTCTGGGCACCCCTGTTCCTGCTGCGCTCCGCCCTGGCCGACTTCAGCCTGGACAACGAGGTGCACTCGAGCTTCATCCACCGGCGCCTCCGCAGCCAAGAGCGGCGGGAGATGCAGCGCGAGATCCTCTCCATCCTGGGCTTGCCCCACCGCCCGCGCCCGCACCTCCAGGGCAAGCACAACTCGGCGCCCATGTTCATGCTGGACCTGTACAACGCCATGGCGGTGGAGGAGGGCAGCGGGCCGGGCCAGGGCTTCTCCTACCCCTACAAGGCCGTCTTCAGCACCCAGGGCCCCCCTCTGGCCAGCCTGCAAGATAGCCACTTCCTCACCGACGCCGACATGGTCATGAGCTTCGTCAACCTCGGTGAGTAAGGCAGGCGCGGGTACGCGTCTCTGTTCGGGTCACTTTGAGACCGGGAGGGAGGGAGCTGCTTCTTCCATACAGCCCGCCCAGCTTTCTGCTCTTGGCTGAAATCGCAGTGCCGGCCCGAGAATCTCCCACCCACCGCCCTACGGCTCCCAAGCTGTGTGCGCTCCCAGGTCGGGAGCGCTGGGCTCTGCGGGCCTTTGGGGGTTACTGGGAAGGAGGGACCCTGTGAAACCCCCACCATTACGCCCCTGGCCGCATCTCTGGGGCTCCAGGCGCCTGCCGGGCCGCGGCTCATTTCAAAGCGCCTGGCTCGGTCATGTGAGCTGTCCCGGGCCGGCGCAGCCCGCGCTACCTGAATGTAAAGGGCCCTTCCCGGCGAGACTGCCTTCCCGCCCTTCCTGGGCCCCCCTCAGCCCTGCCTGGCCCTGGCATCGCGGGCGTCGCACTTCCTTCCCCAGACAAGCCCTACCTGTCCCCTCGCGGTGCACCAGCCTTAGCGTGCCGCGCGCTCCGAGCGCCTTGGGGCCCCTCTCCCGGCCGCCGGACGCCCTGTTCTCTCTCGGCTGAAGCTGGGGAAGAAACGCTGCCATTGCTAGTTTTCTTTTCTTTTTTTTTGAGACGGAGTTTCGCTCTTGTTGCCCAGGCTGGAGTGCAATGGTGCGATCTCGGCTCAGTGTAACCTCCGCCTCTCGGGTTCAAGCGATTCTCCTGCCTCAGCCTCCCGACAGGCATGGGCCAACACGCCCGGCTGATTTTGTATTTTTAGTGGAGACGGGGTTTCACCATGTTGGTCAGGCTGGTCTCGAACCCCCGACCTCCCAAAGTGCTGGGATTACAGGCGTGAGCCACCGCCCCTAGTTTTCTATTTTAGATAATTTAATAATAGGTCCCGGGCCGGCAGAATCCATTTTCAGAATTTATCACGTGTGGCGCTCAAACCACAGGTTTTGGAGATTGGGTGGCGCGGGATCTCTCAGCAGACGCCGCGGGGGCGGCTGGGGGTCCCGGTTTCCGACTGAAGCTGCGACGACCCCGGGGACGCGAGGCTAGGGCTGTGGCGAGGGCCTGAGAGCTCCCCCTCCATCTGTGCGCGCACGTTCTCCAGACTTGCTCAAACTAACCCCTGGCAGCGCGCTGCGGGACTGATGATCAAATATTTGGTTTCCGAGATAACACGCCCCGATAGCGCTGTTTCCTGAGCCGCTTTCATTCTACTTGTGTAACTTGCTGCGAAAACCCGAACCAAGTCAAGACAGCAAACTCACGCCCACGGGCCCTGTGGGAAATAATGATACTGGAATAATGGAAATAATGATACTGAAGCCCCACGCTGGGCACTTGGGGCGTGGACTGGGGGCTTGGGGAAATGCTGATCCGCCTTCAAGCTTCCCCCTCCTGATAAGGTCCCTGGAGTTCCCAGGAGGCCATTGTCTGTATTTAATAATGCCCAAATTCAACCAGTGACCCAAGCTTCAGCGAGCGAGGGGTGGGAGCTTTAGATGCCAGAACACCTTCAAGAAAGTTTAAATTCTACTAAGCAGCCAGTTAAGAGGGAAGCAGCAACATATGACCTGATTTAGAGCAATCTCCAAGATGTATGAGGTGGAAAGCAGCAAGGTGCAGATGAGGGGGCTGCATGTGTGTCTATATATCATCGTGTCCTCCTGGAGGAAGACACCGGGAATGGGAGATTTTACTGGAGAGGTAGAGAGGCGGGGGCATAGCTGGGGCTTAGACAGTGGGAGCTGGGCTCTGATTTTTCATTGTCTGCACTTCTTTGATTTTTTTTTAAAAACAGTGTGTATGTATTACTTATACCAAAAACTTAAGGAAAATTCCAAATACATACACATAAATAATAAATGCAGAGCTCTGTCGCCCTCCTGAAGCCTGGGGTTAGCCAGGGCCCTTTCTTTGGTGGGGGATTTATGGCATCTTCTGTTCTGTTGGGTACCCCGTACTCCCACTGAATGTGCAGGTCCCAGCAGCTGCCTTCAGCGCTTGGCTGGGGTCATTAAGAAGGTATTTGTAATCTCTGGCTTCTGTAGAAGGCCCTGCAAATGAGAGCAATCCCCTGGCCCCCCTGCCCCGCCCCATTGCTATGGGCCACCAGTGTGCCTAGACCCAGGGGCTCCCTCTCCCCCAGAGAAAGCCCAGGTTGCTCGAAGTGTGCCTCTGGGAACTCTGGTGTGGGCTATTTGCTCCCCCCATGGCGGCAGGAGCAAGCTGGGACTTGTTTGCGGAGGCCACAGCTGGGTGGTTTTCCTCCTCTGGCTGTACACACACCTTTCAATCCATTTCTTTCATCTTGAAAGGACAAAGACCGGCTTGTCTGAGCCTCTTAATCAGTCAGGCTGGCTTTGGGCTTTGTGGGACCCTGACTTTCTCAGGTCTAGCTTTCTGGAACATCACTCCAAATTAGATGGCAGAGTGGCTTTTAACAGAGCGTATTGACCTTGTTTTCTTTTTCTCTCTGTCCCTAAACTCGAGGTCATTAGTTAGGTGAAGACCTGGACCACAGTTGGTGAGCCACTTCCTGTAGATGCTTCTAATGTTGGCCTTTAAGTTCTGCTAAGCAGCCACACAGGAATAAATTGCCTGTCCCTTCTGTTGTGTTGTAGCTTGGAATTTCTCCATAGGAGGGACTTAGGGGTGGCAGTAGGGTTGGAGAGGGGTGGGGGAGGTGTAGGAGACTTGTCTGGATGCTGAGTTTGCTCAGAAGGAACACTGCTATACTGTTTTTCCTTGGATTACAATCACGTTGATTTGTAGTATTTGAAGTTTTCTAAAGGCAAGTTTATTCTCACACTTTACATAGAGTGAGAAAATGTCGCTTGCACATATCAAGCTATTACTTATTATTATGGTGGGATGGGGGGGCGTGGGTGAGGATCTTGGCAGCCTTTGCTGCCCCTTCCCCCTGCACTGCATACCTCTGCTGTCTTGCAGGGAGGCGGGCCTATGAGCACGGGGGACCCCTGCCTGAATTCTGAAGGCTTTTGCAGACCTGGTGCGTTTATGCTTCCTTCTGTCTGCCGCCAAACTGGTTTTTGTTCCTATAAGTCGTTCTTGGAATTCAAGTTTTTTGCCAGGCTGAGCGGGATCTAAACTAGAGGGGAAGCTAGAGGGGAATTTACGACAAAACCAGGTGGTGGGAATGAGGACCAAAGGCTTCACCGTGTGACAAAGCCCAGCCTGTGCCGTGAAGCCCCGTGCAACGTGAGCTGAGCGGCCTAGTGAGACTCCCATCTTCCCAACCTGGGCCCCTTAAGTTCAATGGCAACATTTGTAAACTGGTTTGGATTAACAAACCCGATTCCTCTGTGTAGACTTAATTTTGGAATTCAAAACAGTGACCCTCTCTTAAATAATCCCCAGGCCATGGCGATTCTGCAGACTGAGTCTAGCCATAGCCCGTCGCCATTCTTTCTTTGGGAAGCTCTGCTAGAAATCTTCTAAAGTAGCCGGCTGGCAGTCGGGGAGTGGAAGTCATCATGTGTATCTCTGGTCCAGGTAATGAAGGCATGAAATTTGTTGAATCTTTGATGCTAAATTTAAAAAAAGAGAAAGTTGGAAACCTATCATTGTTGGAGTCAGCATGTAACAGTGGCTTTTGTTAATGAAGCTGAAGAGCAGGGAGAGGGCCGTGCAGTGGATTTTTGTTTTATGCCATCTGGCTGTCCTTTTTGTCGACAAGTGTTTGGCATTAAGACCTCTCCCATTGCCCCTCAAGAGCAGGCTCTACCACTGTAGAGTATTAGAAAAAGATTCTGTTACAGTTTTAAAATTTCCTTCAGGGAGTGCTTCGCAAAGGGGAGCGTGGACTGCAGGCATTTGCAGCTGTAACCTGGCTTGTGTTAAAATTTGGAAGGGGTTGTTCCACATTCCAGCACTTGGAGCCCCGGCCCTCACTGGTGAGCAGCCAGAGGTTAATATAGATGTCACACAGCTCTCCCCCTTCTTTCTTTCTTTCTGCAGAGCGCCTTCGCTATAGGAGTGCACCAACAGCTGTGTTTTTCGTAACCCTTTCAAAATCACTTCTTCTAAACCTCATTTTCCTGCTTATATAAATCAAAG